TCTCTGTCTCTCAAAAATAAAGGAAAAAAAAAAAGAAAGAAAACAGGATCAGAAATGTCTGTATGGCGCTACTTCACCCTCTTACTCAGCATAGAAATCTCCCGAATTCGGGGCGCCTGGGCGGCTTAGTCGGTTAAGTGTCCGACTTTCGCTTAGGTCATGATCTCGCGGTTTGTGGGTTCGGGCCCCGCGTCGGGCTCTGTGCTGACTGCCAGCTCAGAGCCTGGAACCTATTTCGGAGTCTGTGTCTCCCTCTCTCTCTGACCCTCCCCTGCTCGCTCTCTCTCTCTCCTAGAAATAAATAAAAATATAAAAAAAAAAAAGGCCTTACTTAAAAAAAAAAAAAAAAGAAATCTCCCAAATTGATAACCACTCCTTCCACTCCTTTAGGATTTTTGCCACGTTAGTGGTTACATACTGATGCAGAGGAAAGTTCGCTTTTATCCGTGGAAGTCTGCTCAACCTCTTTGGTTTACAAAAGCATTAAAAAGGTTCTCCTACGTTGGCCCCAAATGTACACCTGTGAAACTGTTGTCAGCACTTTGTTTCCGGGACAGTGCAGCCAGGATGCTCCCCAGACTGGCTTCTACCTCAGGTCCACATTCCCCCCACCCCGCCCCCTTCTCTCTGAGCAGGATCCCTTCCTTCTGTAACTCGAGTTCCCACTGAAAATCATGAATAATTACTACTAAGCTTGACTCTTCTATCACTAATATCTTCTGTCGTTTTGATCCTTTCTGTCCCTGACTTTAATAATAATGTTTAATCATGTTTCTTATCTTCCGGTCTCTTTCTTCACAGTTCCTACTGCTAACAACCGCCAAGGGTTATGTCCTATGTCTTTTTTTTTTTTTTTTTAATTTTTTTTTTTTTAATGTTTTATTTATTTCTAGGAGAGAGATAGAGACAGCATGAGCAGGGGAGGGTCAGAGAGAGAGGGAGTCACAGACTGAAACAGGCTCCAGGCTCTGAGCTGGCAGTCAGCACAGAGCCCGATGCGGGGCTCGAACCCACGAACCGCGAGATCATGACCCAAGCGAAAGTCGGACGCTTAACTAAGCCACCCAGGCGCCCCGGTTATGTCCTATGTCTATGTCAGTAATCCAGCATGTTCTTTTCTGTCTCCCCTCTCATTCCACCACTGCAAGAAAAATCTCTTTAAAATGATGCGCCGGGGCACCTGAGTGGCTCAGCTGGTTCAGCGTCCAGCTCTTGATCTCGGCTCAGGTCATGATCTCACAGTTCATGGCTTTGAGCCCTGCGTTGGGCTTTGCGCCGACAGCACGGATCCTGCTTAGGATTCTCTCCCTCTGTTTCTGACCCTCCCCTGCCTGTGCTCTCTCTCTCTCTCTCTCTTTCAAGATAAATAAACTTAGGGGCGCCTGGGTGGCTCAGTCGGTTAAGTGTCCAACTTTGGCTCAGGTCATGATCTCACAGTTCATGGGTTCGAATCCCGCGTCGGGCTCTGTGCTGACAGCTAGCTCAGAGCCTGAAGCCTGCTTCAGATTCTGTGTTTCCCTCTCTCTCTGACCCTCCCCTGCTCATGCTGTATCTCTCTCTCTCTCAGAAATAAAAAAATTAAAAAAAAAATGAATAAACACTAAAATTTTTTTAAAAAGGATAAGTAAACTTAAAAAAAATGCAGCGCCGGTCATCTCTCTCCCAAACCCTGAATTATTGCTCTAGTGCTTACCAAATTAATAAGTGTTGACACTCAGGGTCCTCTGTGATTGTCCTCCTCCCTCCCTGGCACTTCTCTTTTTTGTTTGTTTAACGTTTATTTATTTATTTGAGGGAGAGAAAGAGAGTGAGCGAGTGCATGAGCAGGGGAGGGGCAGAGAGAGAATCCCAAGAAGGCTCCGCACGGTCAGTGCAGAGTCCATCGTGGGGCTCGATCTCATGGACCATGAGATCATGACCTGAGCTGAAATCAAGAGTCAGACGCTTAACCGACTGAGCCACCAGGGCGCCCTCCCCTGGCACTTCGAATCCTACCACCCACCTTGCCCCAATTTGTTACAGACTCTGACGAGAGCTCTCTGTCCAGCCTGGGCTCTCTGATCACTGTCCCGTGGACGCACCTTGTGCACGCCTTGCACTACAGCCTTCGTTGTCCTCAGTTTGCTTCCATTTACAATTACAGTCTGGTCTCTCAAACCTAAATCAGATCCTTGCCTCACCATTTTAGAATGACCCCTGATGCAGCCACAGCAAATACCACTTGGCTGGCATTTACGCCCTAATTTCTATTAGAATTTAAGCTGTTAACTCTGTGAGTCTTTTCAAATAGATTACAAAGATACATGGGAGCAAGTACAATGTTCTCATCCTTTTTTGTGTGACTTCAGAGCCCAGGACTAAAGACGCGGATTGATATATCCACGAACGGGTTATGTATATATATATATATATTTTTTTTTTTCCCAAAAGGAGAAACCTCTAAAAACATGGAAGGAAGAGAGTGCATAACTTGAATGCATAACTGTGTTTGTATCAGCCCAAATATTTGATGAAATCCCCAAATTAAAACAGCCATGAAGGGATCACTAGACCAGATGCTTATCATCACTGAAAGGGAGACGGCTTTTGCTACATGTGTTTCCTATAACCCAGCCTGTCACGGTCTCTTAAAATGGCTTTTCTTCATGGTTGTTAAAGATTTCCAGTTCAAGCTCTGAAACTGCATTACAGAGACTTGCATCTGTCAACCTCAACCTTGGCGATGAGGTGGAAGGTTGCTGGGTCTCAGGCAGTTACTTATGGTGAAACACCTCGAAGGAGAATGTCTGCAGGTGAACTAGTAGAAGTTTCCCCATGATTTGGTTCTAGCAAAGGGCGGGCTCCTCCCCATCCACCTGAGGGCACAAATGCAGCTTCCAATGGGAAGTATTTAGAGTCCCCCCCCGCCCCCCGGCGAAGAGGAGATAAATAGTGGTCTCCAGCGCAAAGCCAAGAGCACATGAAGAGAAGACAGACCGAATGCTAATACCCTGAACATCCGCGTCCCTCGATTTCAGGAGCAAAAGATCTCCACTGTTTTACTGGGACGGATGTCACGTCAGCACGTCAGGTAACTACTGAATTCAGAGCAGGGAGAGAAAACATTGTTCACGCTGGGCATCAGCGATAGTTGGTTGGACGATCTAGGTTAGGAAGACTCCGGGAAGGGAGTATCCTGAACAATTAGCCCTCCCTTCCCCAGGCCAGGGAAGCGATGGGTAACCGCCTTGTGTTTGCCAGTGCTAATTCAGGGTCATGAGTAAGGCTCTCCCCACTTCAGTGTGTCTGAAACCAGGCTTCCAAGGCCTCCTTCAAGCAACCCTCTACCTTGTGGCTGTCCTGCCAGCCCCCAGTGCTTTCTCTCACTCCTTCTTCTCCTTTTGAAGTGGAGCTCAAAGTCATGAGCCTGAGATAAACAGTAGCATGTTCTTCTGACCCAGTCCTCCAGGCGGCTGTTAGAAGTTTCTCCTAAATCTGTGATGCTGGTTTAATGTGACTGTGCACATACGCCACCACTGCTCGCATGCAGAATCTTTTCTGTTTGTTTTTCAGTAGGCTCTATGCCCAATACGGGGCTCGAACTCATGACCCCGAGATCAAGAGCTGCCTGATCCACCGACTGAGCCAGCCAGGCGCCCCTTCTCACTTCTTAATTCTTACGTTGGTGCCACTCCCGCCCATCCCTGGGGGGGGGGGTGGTGGTGGCACAGGACAAGCATAGGCTGAGCCTTGTCCTGGGGCACGGGGGGCCTGCTCCGGGATGGAGAACGATTCCGAGGGGGTTTTCGGAGCCAGGAGTTCCTCAAGGAGAAATATGTTAAATGTGCACATGGGCTTTGGCGGGAAGCCTGTGTGCCACCACCTGGAAACCACGGGAGGGGCAAAGAGCGTTTCAGTGCTAAGCACGGTGGCTGATTCCTCCCTTCATCATTGTAACAAAACTCTGCTCTGTCGCGTGTCCGAGGCCCTCTGGGGCCCGCGCGGTACTGTCCTGGCCAGGAGCTGCAGGGGAGGTCTGCTGGGGGCCTCTTTAAGGGTCATGCGCTTTAGATGGAACTTCCTTTTTTTCTCTTTTGGAGGCTGCCGGACGAGGCTCTGACACATGGAGCCACAGCGCATTCTTTCACACCTGGGGGGAGGGTTCGGGGTGATCCGCGGACGGCCCGCAGAGAGCCTTGCTCCCCGATGACATGGTGGGACCCCGAACTAGCTCTGGAGACGCCCCATCGCCCCTCGCCTCTCCCCGCGTGGAGCCATTCCGATACACATTTTACATATTTACACTAATGTTTCTAAAATTAGCGTGCATAGTTTATGGGATGTCACGGCTGAGTCGGCAGCATTTCTTCTTCTCTGAAGTGGAACTTAATTGCGTGTTTTACAGAAGAGGCTGCATCTGGGGTTTGGTGAAACGTGGGGCGTCCTCGCCCTTACCCATCTTGCTCCGAGAAGTAACCTCCTGATTTGGCTGCCTTTGGCTGCCGTCTGCCCTCCCAGCCCTCATCCCTTCCCTCACCTCCCTGCGCCTCCAAACCTTGAGATGTCTCCTCATTCGGAACCCAGTCTCTCTTACAGACAATTTAAAATAGCAGATCACACCTAAAACCCGGACTTGGCAGGGACCCCGTCAGCCCTGGTGGACGCGGGGGTGACGGACTTTGGGGTGTGTCCACTTCATTCCGCGGGCAAGAGGGAGTTTTCAAATTCTTTGGAAATGAGCCGCGGCTGAGAGAAGCACAGCGCGACGGTCCTCCCACACGGCTCTTTCTGGGTTTTGATGAACCGCGGGAGGAGCGGGCAGGGTAGGGGTGCGCGGGTGCGCCTGCCATGACCACATGGCCCTGTACCCCCAGGGCCAGGTGGAGTCTGCAGGGGTCAGGTTTTGCCTCCTCACTACCCTGACCTGCGCCTCTCCCCCTCCCCCCCAGAAGTTCAGATGCAGGTTCTGCCCCAAGGCAGAAGGGGGTAGAGGGGACTCTGGTAAGGCTGGAGTCACTCACCCACGTAGAAATACTCCGGGGACTTGTCCTCCGATGAGAAGTCCTTCATGGTGCCCCCAAACCGAAACCATAGTCCAAAACCAATGACAGCGGACCCTGCCAGCTGAAGGGAAAGAACACTGGTTTTTCAGCGAATGGAAAGGGTTGGCGTTCACATAACCAGGGGGCGGGCTGGGGGCACAGGGTCCTGAGGCTGGATGAGGGTGTCTCCTTAGAAATCAGCTTGTCTGCCCTTCTGGTGACCTAGGGAAGGTGAAACAATGTGCTCAAAGCCTCTCGGGTCCCTGATGTGATCTCAGAACTGGGGGATCCTGATTCCAAGCCCGGAGTTCCCCCCATTCTGCCAGGCTGCTCGGTGGGGACCAGGCATACACAGCACAGCCCAGAGGCATCTCAAAAAGGATGTTCCAATAACAGTCTCCATGGAAGGCATCTGTCCACTGCCGTGCCGTCCCTCGCTGGGCACTCGGGACCTCCTCACCAACAGCACGGAGAGAGGGGACTGTCACCACAGCAAGCTGACCTCTAAGCCCTGGAAGAAACTCACTTTTCTAAACTTGAGAAAACACACCACCTCAGAACCCACCTCCAGCTCATGGGCACACAGTGCCCAGTGAGAAAGCGATTTTAGAGAGATCTAGAACCCTTTCTCCCCCAGGGCCTCTAGGATCTCAGTACTATTCCTGGGGACGGTTTTGCAGGCTGAGAGGGAGCTCGGCCGGGGTTTTTTTTGTTTTGTTTTGGATTTTTTTTTTTTTTGGTTGCTATTTTGAGTTTCCATGGAAAGTGAGAAAGGAAAAAATAATTTTCTGAAAAAGCAGGGTCTGTGTGCCGTGCGGCTCCCGGAGAGGCCGTGTGGCAGGCTGGCGGCTGGTAGAGTCATCGTCTGCTTCCTCCTAGCCCCTGAGGACTTCTGTGAGGCTGGGCATCGGCGCCAGGAGGCCTCCCTCTCTTCGCAGGACTGTCACACGGCCTGCTAGTCACAGACACCCATCTCGAATTGTGTCCTATCGGTCAATCACAACAGATGCTCGCTGCGTACCTCCTGGGCTAGAGGCACATGGGGAAGCAAGCGGGGAAGCAAGCACGTGTCAAGATCGCCTCCTGGGTCAGCCCAGCCCTCTAGTTGGGGAAGGGGGGCTAGCCTGTCACCAAGGTAACAGTTCAGAGGCTGCTCCTGCCCCCACAGCGAAGAGCACACACGCGTGCAACAGGATGGGATGCGGTCAGAGCAGTAGAGGTTTCCCAAGGCTAAAGGGTATCAAAGTCAGGGTCAGACCAGAGCCCTTTGTATACAGCGTCCCTCTATCCGCAGGGCTGGTGGTAAAGGACCTGGTGCTACCCTGTGGGGCTGTCTGGCTGGACTTCTGTAAGGACTCTGTCTTTCCCTTGTCCTCTCCCGGCTGCTTCCCTCTGTGGCCAGCTTTTCCAGAAGGGCAGGGGGAGTCAGCGGCTCTCCCAGCTGGACTCTCTCATGCGGAATAAGTAAAAGTTTCCAGTACTTAGGGGAAAGCACTAATTGGATAATGTGAGGGACAGCTCAAGGAGCTGGAGTCCGCCGGCTTTTTGCATGTTTAAAAGGGTAGCACGGCACGGAAAAACGTTGGAAGAAGTCATGCTAAAACATTCCGAGTATCTTTGAAGGTGGGATTACAGGTGGCTTTTTTTTTTTTCACTCTACCCTCTAAATTCTGTGCACTAAACACGTATTCCTCTTGTAAGTTTAAAAATGTTGTTTTTTTAAAAAGCATTATATGGTAGTCTATCGGCTCAATCCAGAAGGAGCGGGGAGGCTCTTCTTGGGCCGTGCTTTAGTTTGGGGGGAAGCAGCTTGGAGGTCACTGCTGTTCTGGTGCAGGAAAGAGAATGATGCCCTTGGGAGGACGCTGTCCTCGAAGCTCCCTGAGGCTGCCTGGGACAGACGTGTCCAGCCAAGCCTCACAGGCAGCCCTCCCCCCTCTTGCCTCTGTGGAGACTAGATGGAAAGACAGTTTCCAAATACAAAGCAAAATCTATTGACAGAGGCGGCAGGCCAAGGCCCGCAGTCACCAAGCAGACTGGAGGAGGTGGCTGGTCCCAGGGACACCCTACCACGCGGCCACATTTTTGGCATGTCTGCACACAGACTCTAATTTATTGCTGTCTGGGATTACTGTCCCAGACGGAATACATGTGTCCGCTTCTGGCACACATGCATTCGCTGCATAATGGAAAATTAAAAGAGAAGCTGCAATTTAAAGCCACGGGCGAGGAGAAAAAAAATCCACACTTGCTCGTCCACGCCCCCACCCCCAAACCGCACGGGTTTCCTCCCGGGTCAAGGAAACTGTGGCTTAACTGAATGTCATCACTGTGTGGAGGGAATCCTGGCCGTGTCAGGGGTAGGCGGGGGAGGACCAGGCAGGCCTGGGGCTGCTCATGACAACTGTGAGCGCTGCTTTGGAAAGTGACATCACACAGCCCACGTAGCCCTTGGGTGTTTTCAACCTCACCATTCCGGTTAGGCTCTTGTAGTACTCGGGTGGCTGGACTCTGACTGATCTGCCTCATGCTCGAAATGGGACTGAGTTGAAACACTTCACCCCAATTCCAGTGCAGTCGGGAGCAGAGAGCAGGGGGAGTGTTGGGGAGTCCCACAGCTCTGTGTGCCCCAAGCCCGGGAAGACACATCTCACTAAATGATGTGAGGGAAGCCCTGAGGCCCACTAGGCCTACATCTTAACCCCTTCTACACCCAAACCCCTCTGTTTCCCTGCTCTTTCTTCTTCTTTTAATCTCAGCCGCCACACGCACCTCAGCCAGTGTTAGAACAAACAAGGAATGAGGCTTGCCCCTGCCCTCATCTCCTCCCCCTTCCTCCCGTCTTTCAAGGAATCATCTGCGGTCCCCGTTGGGGATGTGCGAGGCTTTAGGGAAATCGATGCTGAAAGACAGGACTCACTGTCTCACACGGAAACTGAGCCCATGAATGGATACGTGCAATGTCATGCAGGAACTGTGCTCAATGGAAGAGCGTCACGCTGCGCAGAGAGCGGAGCAAAGTGTGACAACCGGTGTTCAGCAAGCAGAAGGCATTTTGATTTACACCTTGAAGAATGAGCTGGAAGTCACCGAGCAGGGGAGGGCTGGAGGGAGGAGCAAACATCAGGCAGAGGGAAGGCTTTGCTTCCTTACCTGGAACCTGGGTTGGGCAGAGAGAGAAATCTGGGGCTGGAAAGGCACGTTGGGGCAGACCATGTGTGGTCCATGGCTTCTACTTAGCTTGCTGCCATCTTGGAAAGCCCAAGCAGGGCCTTGAGGGGAGGGGAGATGGGAGATACTCGTTTTCGTGGAACAATCAGGAGCATGGGTGCTTCCTCATGCCAGACAGGGAGAAGCCAGAGATAAAGACCCGATGGCTGAAGGAGAGAGCAGGGACACTAGGGAGGGGGTGTGGCTGAGAGCTGAAGACCACAAGGATCCACTCTACTCTGTAAAGAACTTTGCTGAGGGCTGCCCTGCTTCCCATCCCCATGCCTTTGGAATAATTCTCACTAGAAATGTTGTTTTTCTAGGAATGGATGTTTTCATACAGCAGCTTGAGTGGGACCTTGATGTTGGTCACTTAAACATTTATTGAGCATCTATTGTGAGCCAGGAGCCAAGGACAAATAGGAAAGGAAGATCCAGTTCCTTCTTAGAAGGATCTCAGGGGCTCATGGAGAAGCCAGTTCCCACCAGGTCACCCACAATGGACACCAACCTTGCAGGGAAGAATTCGACCACAGAACCAGCCCACCAGAAGATGCCAGGTGTCACTATCCTTTGTGTGACATTTCTTTTCTGAGTCCCAACTGTGCATTACGAACTCAGAGAATGTAATGGAACAGAATTTGGAGGGCGAAAGTGTGCCCACCATTTAAAAAGAGGACAGGAATAAAATCGAAAAAAAAAAAGCACTGAAGGGAACAGTGACATAACAATCCATGTAATTAAATAGGGGGTCACGGGATCTAACTGTATTATGCATCTTCACAGGCAAGAGATTTCAGTATCTAACCATATTCTAGAGTGTTTGCAGGACACAAAGTTGCAAATTGTAAGCCCTTAGAGAAGGCAGTTTATGTTCTAAAACTAAAGTAGCACAGGAGAGGGGCACAGACTTCCTCAGAAAGCATTTAAGCAAGTAGATGAACAAAAAGTTTCCTTTAAGGTACCGCTATCTGTCAGAAACAGATCATTTGGCGTGAAGCAGAGCTTGTTAAAGGATTTCAATTTTATTTTACAGTATTTACTTCCACCTTCCTGGGATTGCTAATGAGATGTTCCATCTTGAGGATTTTTTTTTTTCTTCACTTGACAAAAATAAAGATTTCATGAATCACAAGCATGGTTCTTTGGAAGGCACTAAGTTGGAAAGAGGGCTGTACTGAGATACAAAAATGCAAAGATCACTCTCCAGACTCGGGTCACCCAGGCGGCCCAGCTTCCCTCCACCCCCACCCGCACCCACACCCAGAAGTGGGCCGCCAACCCTGCTCACAAAAACCAAATGCGTGCTACTCTGCTAGCTGATAACTACACCCAGCAGAAAGCCCCCGATTTGGGTAAAAAGCTTCACTTGGGGGAAGTTCTCTGCACATATTTTTTTCACCTAGATGGGAGACCCAGTTTCGATTTCTCCTCACACTTGGGGGCCTCTGCTCTTGCCCTCTTGCTGTTTCTTCAGCTTAGAAAGCTCTCTTCCCCTCCCCCTCCCCACAGTTCCGGGCCCCCGCACCCCCAGCTGTCGGCTCTCTAGTCAGTTCCTCTGGGAAACCTACCCTGGCCCTGGGTGTGTATTTTCCTTCATGTCTCACATAACCACTTCTATTTAAATATTTCTGGAATTCGGGGGCGCCTGGGTAGTTCAGTTGGTTAAGTGTCCGACTCTTGATTTTGACTCAAGTCATGAGCTCACAGTCTTGGGTCGGAGCCCTGCGTGCGGCTCTGTCCTGACATGGTGGCGCCTGCTTGGGATTCTCTGTCTCTTTCCCTCTCTCTCTGCCCCTCCCCCCCCAATGAAATAAACATTAAAAACAATAAAACACTGTAAATATGTCTGGAATTGAAAAAAAATCAAGA